TTAAAACTGTCAACGAGTGCATGACAAAAATTAAAAATATTAAAAAAATATGTGTTTCAAACGGAAGCAGAGGATTGACGGCGGTGGGATAGGTGAGAAAAAGAAATGAACGAAAAAATATTCAAAAAATAACGACCACGTAATAATACTAAAAATAATATATTGTGTACCTAACGTACCTAGACGTATAGGTATGTGTTTAAAATAATGTACAGTCGGAACGCGTCCTGTTTTCGATTCGCTCGCGAATTATAATGTATACAGACCAGTGGCGCCGAACTACAAAAAATGCAATATGGCGAACATCAAATTTTAATAGTACCTACCCACCTACTAATTGGTATACACGGGGGGGACTGAAACCCTACCATCATATTGATATTGTATTCCTTATTTATATCAATACATAATATACATTACATCTATTTTCATATTGCGAATTATCAATTATTTAAGATATAGGGGTTTACATGATGTGTTTTTATGTAATTATGTTAAATATAATATAGTTTTAGACTTAAATACTTTCATAATATTTACATATGGGCTATGTGCATCTACCCAGCACCCAGCCACCCACCCACCCACCCACCACATAATTCACTATGGCAGTCGCCATACTTGGGTATAGGGATCGGCGCCACTGATACAGACTATGACAACGACCGCGAGCTGGTGTCCGCGACCATGAAAATCAGTTAAATCGACAACACGACACAACGATAATGAAGTATAAAATAATATGTTTAAGACATCCCACCTATACTCACACAAATATATATATAATGGTGAAAAGCGTACACATACACTTAGATTGTATAAGTATAGGTCGCGGGTCGCCTGAAATCGTCACGGGACGGTCATTGTTTTTTTCGCTGTAATTACCTCCAAATGCGCATAATGTTTGTCTTAAATCGGAAAATTCACGTTTGGCCACAGCAAAATTTTACACGCTTCGGTCCCGATTTCTGGGGTCGTCGAGACTTGTGCGGACGTACCGTAACAGTGTTTTAATTAAAACAAAATAATATACATACCAATGAAGTATCGTCCGGCGCGCGACGACGACTCGACGACTGCGAATCGCTGAAAATCGGTGGTTTTTACTCATCCGCGAAGTAATATACTATTCAATGATGATACGAATAATTGCATATTCTATACACGCGTTTGTTTATTTATTTTTTATCGTCATCGGTACTGATTGGAAATAATTTCTGTATACAACCAACTTTTGATACTTCTGCACAAACGCGTAACAAGGGTAAATCACGTATTATGCGCTACTTTTTTGTTTTAGTAGGTACAATAATATCTATAAGCGGTGGTGGCTAGACAAAAAAGTGTCGAGTGAAAATGTTAAGACGCAACCGATGTCCACAGAAATAACGTAATACTTCATCCATTATTAAGTATACGCGTCGACAGTTATACACAGAATGGTTCTAATTTTAAATATCAAAATTTTAGATAAAATGTGGTAAAATGTTAGATTTTGAGCAAAGTTATGTATGTATTAATTTTACATTGATGTGTGTTTCTCCCAGAATTGTTTTTCACGTGTAATTATTTAACATTGAATTAAAATTAACACGTATTTACAGTGGCATACTCAATGACTAATTTTTCATTTTTAAGTTTTCAAACATGAGTTCAGAACCCAATTATATCCCCGTTGTGTCGGACCATCCATCCGTCAGTTCATACGATAGTTACCGGTAATATTTTAACAATTAATTATGATTTATGAATTATGAATGCTTGCAAGAAGTATCGCGTTCAAATTATAGACATTTGCTCGTACGTGCCTCCTTCCACCCACCCCACCAAACACTACCAATGAAAATTGTTTAGTGTCACTCTCGTTATACGCTACTACCGAACTGAACAATACGCAACACGCAGTGTGCTACGAACGATCGTTTTTCCATTTCCGTTTTCAGGAGTTTTTTTTTCGTCAACCGGAAGTTCGTTTTTATTGCGCCGCGTAGGATCGCCGTGCGGCTAATGACCGTACTCGCGACGACGGCAATCCATTATCGTGTTCGAAACCAGTTGCTAGTTGTGTGTTGCATCGGTCGTCCGTTGCGCGACGAATATATTCTATAATATTATTTTATTATTTTATTTTGAGTGTGCGAGTGGTTGCGACATATTAACAGCTCGCAAAATATTATTTCAATAATAAGTTTAGGTATTTAATATTTTATTGAGTCGCAAGTTGAACCAATTATGTCTGACCATATTAATATTACAATAATAAGTAAGAGCTTGTGCATTTTTAAATGTTGTACTTCGTAAATTTTTAATACGACAAAACGAGCTTGTTATCGTTTCCGAGAGCGGTATAATTCTTTATTTCTTTGAAGAAATAAATTAAATGTTTAATATCCCCCGCACGACGATACGTAGAATTACTGCCGGACACGAAAATATGCATGTAAATATAATATTATTTTACTTATTTTGAAGAATATTATGTCCTTTGTGTGTGTATTAGACTGCTGCAGTGACCTTATCTCACATTAATGAATAATTCTGACTGTTATAACACTATATTGCAACAATGTTTAGAAAACAAAAATAATATTTTACGTTCTGATATCATAATGATAAATGATAAAGTAAAAATAAAAATAATGATAACTTGTGTACATGCACTTGTATAGTTGTATGTGCCGAGTTTGAGATGTTACCATTAAAATATGGTATCCACAGACTGTCCGGTAATGATAACAATCTGTATATAACGAGATTATCTGGTAGAAATATCTAATAAGAAGTATTTTGGTATTGGTAAAAGCTGTTGGAGGTATTTTGTTTGACTCGACGATTGAAGACTCCATCTCGCCTATCTCGACAAACTTGTATTATTTTATTTTTATACCACAGAACATAGTCCATAACAAAAATAATATATATTATTAAATCATACAGTAAATCCATCGGTTTAGAGACGATAGAAAAAAAATTGAAAACAATAAAAAACAATCAATAAACATAATACTATAATATTATGATGTTCGTCCAATTGTATCGATTGACCCATTTTCACACAACGATGGTTTTTTAAGTAAATGTGATATTACTATAGTATTTGTTATAATAATAGTATGATTATTTAGCTGAGTTCTTAAATCATTTTCGTATGTGTTGTGTTTGCATAGCAATATACCTAGATGCATTCTTTACAATACACAATATTGTTCTACATAATATAGTAATATACACGCTTGTTCATTAGTCACCCAATAAAATGTTATACATTTTGGTAATTGGTGTGCTTGAAAAATAATCGATTTAATTCGGCAATTGCGTTACGTTATTTTTTCAACACACCCGTTGCGCATATACCTCTACCGTAGACCATGATTGCAAATTACAGCAGTCTAAATTATATTATGAGTTAGTTTCGCCAATAACGTGTTTTATTGTAAATGGTTCACGTCATATTTTATTTATAATTTTTTAAGTGTTTTTTTTTTTTTATTCATAAAAAATCCATATAAATTAATTATTAGAAATTGTTATTAATTCGTTTCATCACTACGCATAGTAATATACAACATGAGGTGTACCTAGTATTATAAAAATATGAAGTAATGTATAATAACTCATTTCTGTCAAAAAAAAAAAAATCCTCATAAAAACTATTTTAGAGTCCAAAAGTCTTGTAAAATAAATCAATTATTTGCAGTCTTGCTGAACAGTATTTTAGTATTAACATAGTTGTTTGTATGGAAGTGTCTTAAGTTACAAAATTGATTAATAGTTTAATTTGAATGACATTTTTTTTAGTTTTAATTTAACAGTTTAAGTTGGTCACTTACCCAAATTAATGCTTAGATATTAAAATAATTTGTTTATAGGGATTATTTAATTATTATATTTACATAAAAAGATTTTATACAGGTGTAAGTGGTGTCACCTGCAAATGTGAATAATTTTATGAGGTTGGTTTGGAGTGTGTCCTTAAAATACCAAATATTTCAGTACTATGAGCCTAGAATGTGTTTCGTAAAAAAAATGTTTATGGTTTAATCGAACATAATTGGTGATCTACATTTTTAAAACAATAAAAAATAATGCACTTGTATACCTACAGTAATTTTTTCTCTAATATAAGCCGACGCGTTCTTTTAATGACAAATTAATGAGTACCTGGGCTACCTATATAGCACCTATTAACCAGCTACAAGAAATCGAAAATAATAATACACAGTGATAAACCGCGGAGATTAAAAACCACGAGAAAATGAAAATCGCGGTTCCCGAGAAACACTGTCCGTACTGAAATAGTAATACGATTCAAAACCTATAAAAAAAATTAAAACTAAAATTCAAAAACTACATAAATAACTTATTATTTATTAGGTACATACTGTTGTTATTAATAAATAATTATGTGTTATTAAAAGGTATATTAGTGTGTATATATTATTTTAATTCAGAAACGTGAAAATCAAATTCGTTGACAAAAACTCGAGACAAAATAATAATCATAATTTGTTTGGTAGTTAAGCCTGGTTTACTCGATTGTACGATTTTAATAAGTAGTGCTTAAAGTCTCCGGCTAGAATCTCTCACTGTAAATCGGTAATTTATAACGATGAGTCGATCGCGCACATGAAGTTCGACTTGAGGTTCTCTCAAGTCGTAATAAACATATACTACACCGCCGTCGGAGAAGAGGGTAGAGGTGTGGTGTGCTATCGTAGTGTCGTCGTGACAACAATAACAACAACAACGACGACAATGGAGGTAAAATAAAAAAACAATCACGTCCCAGACCTACTACACCGCTGTACAGCCGAAGCGCACGTACGTCGCATACAGCAACTGCACACGCCGCCGCCACAGCAGCAAAAATAATAAAATTTAATATAATATACGCTCTGCCGCCGCGACAGCAGCGCCGCTCAACGACGGTAGATGGTACCCACGCGCGAGCCAGGTACCTGTTCTCCCGACGGCGTACACGACCGTCACGACCGTTCAGTTCAGTTTTTACACTCGAGTCGGTTGTTCGTCAGTCGCTTGTCGTGCAATCGCGTCGCCCGGAGGATAATATCTCGATTTATCACGCGACAACGCATAAATACCACGCACGTACGCGAGTTTTTCTATCGATTTTTTGCGTCTTGGCTGTGCGTTCGGAAACCGTGACAGTTTTTTTTTTTTTTATAAAATACCTTTATTTTATCGATACTTAAAATTATTTCGTCATCGTCACTGTTGGCAACCGGGCTTTTTTTCCGATGATCATGTTATCATCTTCTTTTTCTGCCGTTTGAACGGACACGCCGCGAGTGCACACAAGTCAGACCTGCCGTGATCCGACCCTACTGTGACCAGTGGTTAAGTGTGATCTCGCGCCCGAAAAATGACTGTTTACGCGTTTTTAGCGGTGGTGCTTACGTGCACTGCCGCGGTCTCGTTCGCTGGCGGTTCGGCCGTCTTCCAGTCCGGCGCTTACGACAACGTAGTGGTCGCCATCAAGGATTCTGTTCCAGTGGCAAATTGCAAAACGATCGTCAACAACGTCGAGGTAAGTGTCAAATCACTTCGAATTTATAGTCCTAGATCCCGTGTCGGAATATTGTACTTAAAATTTTTTTATTTTTTTTTTGTTTTTCCTCGAAAGACCGACGAAAAATGATTTTCTTGATAGGTAGGTATTAGTCTATTTTTTTTATCCTCGTAGTAATCTGAATATTTATCGTGTTCGCTCCCTACACAATATAAATCGGCGTAGTTAAATCGTTATAACTATATTATAGTCACATAATAATTTTACCGCCCGCCCGTAACTTGGGCGGCGTACGTGCAATTATAATTTTTTTTTCTTTTTATGACAGCGGTGATTCCATCGAGCAATTTATCGAATCACTATACCGTGGTCTCTGATAATTTCTTATAATATATGTGCGTTTTTATCTTCTTTTGTAATGTTGGCGGCTATGCACTATATAATAAATAATATGTCAATTGTCAATGCATAGGAAAAGAACATCGAACAAGAAAATATCAATCGGACGTTTAATAATAATAATAATAATAAAAAACAAGTAGGTAGGTACTTATTTTAAAATTTCAAACCACCAAACTCGTCTAAATGAATAGGTCGACGACAACCACGACTACGACACACTATATATAAATAAGTACTATACATTATTATTATGTTCACCGGTTGACCGACCGACCTCCTCCGCCGGTGGCGGTGGTCCGGTCTTCCGTTTTGGTCTGATTTCGACGTTAAACACGGCCGTGCCGACTCTCTTGGAAAATTATAATAATTTATATGCGTTGTTTGCGCGACAATCGAACCGCGTATATTTGCAAGCATCGCTACCGCGACTGACGGTCGTTTTCATTTGTAAACGTGCATTTTAAATGGTAATAAACTAATAATAATACGTGGAGGTTTATTTTTATCATACATTCGAGATCGGATACCGTCATAACGCCGGCAATACGTTTTCACGGTCTCCTCGGCTAGTGCGTCACAAGGAATAATTCGCAAAAATCGAGAATTTTCTTTCGCTTTCACTATTCTTTGGTGGCGACACAAACGCCGCCATGTCGGTTGCGCACCGCATCGATTGTTCACAAAACCTCTTATCAGTCAAACCGCGGGCCGGCGTGTAAATATTTCCGCACACAATCACTGTATTAAAATCATATTTTTCCCATCTGTAGGATTATTATTTTAGTTCGGTCGACCTAGTCACACAGGTATCTACAACGTGTATACACGGACAAAAAACGGTGTTATAAAAAAAATACACGCATTATTTATAATATTATTATTGTCATTAAATTACGGGCGCCTGTTGAAATATAGCGCACGATATCGGTTTTTTCTTTTCCATTATTATTACTATAATTTTGTTTGTATGCCGTGTCGTCTTGTCAAAACCCGTGTATATCATACGGGTCGTTGGTTAAAACTGGTTTGAATAGGTAGGTATACCATTATGCTATAAATATTACGTACCAAAATCTGTGGAAATTAAGACCGCGGGACCGCTTCTCCGTTGGAGTGTTAGAGCCAGTCGAAGTATGGAATATATAATATTCATCTTCGTCGTGTGCGACGTGATAGTTGACCAAAATATAAAAATACCTTGTTTATTCTTCATACACTTTATATATTACTCCGTGCACATATCTGCGCATGATCAGCTATAATTAATAATTGTCATTCTGGTTGATAATAAGTTGCTACAATTCAATGTAGAGTGTCGAATTCTGAGACGGCACGTGCGGCGTAAAAATAAAAGATCATCGATTACGGGTTATTTGCACGGAGTAAAAATATAAAAATAAAATGTTTGTAGGTATATCGATTAAATGTAAAAACTAACGACCATAATAAATATTAACTAATCTGGACCGCTAAAACCCGTAAATGTATTGTGTAGATGTCATCGAAAACAAGGATTTAAACGCTTTTTACGAATCGACATGGCCGCGAGGACTAATCGGATACATGTAATTATCAATAACGCTGTTCGTAAAAAAAAAGTGAAACAAAAAATTATAGACTCTTATGATGTACGCAGCGCAATGTTTAAGATTATTTATTGAACTTGAATCCGAGATGATTAAATAACGCGCCTATAAAATAATGACGAATATAATTGGTTCAAACGGATACTATATTATAGAATATAATTTAACGTTCGCTGTTCGCTGGTGGTGTGTAATCAGTAATCACTATAAACATCATCGACGAAAACCTGTTAACCGGTTTCCGATGATGATAGCAATGAGGTTACAGCGACCGGTGGAAAATAACGGATTTACTAAAGTCTCGCCACTGTGTATAAAGCTGAGATAAATACGCGTTTATGTTATATTATATCTTTAATTATATCCGCACATAGAGCAGGTAATAAGAGGATAGGTCCACAGATATTTTCGACATTGACGAACGCATGATTTGCTCGCAGTGTGATAATATAACTCATTATATTATGGTATACGCATAGCTTTTTATTAATAACTCTTTGTATCAGGTTGTGAAATTTAATCTTATAATTCGCGTGTCATATTCGAATGAACGACAAATCCCTATCAAAATGTGTAGTAGAATTAATTCATTAAAACATACATCCAATAATATATTATGATTTAGAAAACGGTGCAATATTCTATCAGTAATTTCCTAAATAATTCCTCATTTGTCGAATTTTGAATTATTCAAATCGCATTATCACTGTGTTAAGTAATCTGATGACGGTATGCTCTAAAAACTATGATTTTCCGAGTGTTTGTATACGAATAGCGATAGTAAAAATTCTAAACGCGTACCTAAATTGAGAAATTGGATAAAAAACAATAGTATTTAATATCTTTAGGGTTTTAAAATTTCATGAAATATATTTTCTTGAAATATTTCATTTCAATGAAAAGAAAAAATAAAAATATTGTATGAAACATAGAAAATATGTAACATATTTATATATAATGTAGAAGATATTTTACAAACCTATGATATTATAACAAATTTCAACAGATTTTTAACATACTGGAGACCGACTAAATATAAGTTATTCATTATCAATATTTTCTGTGTATAATCAATATATTATTTCTAATCATTTATAACCGGACACGTTTAAAAGAAGAAAACATTTTTTTCAATATTTTAAGAAGAGTGAAATTTTCAATTTTGAAATATATTGAATTCAGAACCCTAAAAATATTGGTTAACGGAGTATTCGAATTTCTGTAAAAAAATCGTGATAATTTCTGAAATTGATAATCATACGTTGTCATAAATTAAACGTACGGGGAGATGATGACGGCGGCGGTTCTCGCGTTGTCACCGAAGCGAACACCGGTAGCAACAGCCAGCAGGCCGACCTGGGTCCCGCCCCGCACCGCGCTAATTGTTGTTGCCGTGCGATCAGTCGGACACCTCGCGCCGCGCCACACGTCCAATGCGACGAAAAACACAACCACGAAAAAAACCGGTCCAGCGCGTCGATGATCTTCGCCGCCGCCCGTGGAATTCGTTCGTTACGCCACCAAACGATTTTTTCGATCTTAAGGCCGCCCAAACTGACGCAGGTCATCATCATTATTATTATTATTATTATTACTTAACTTGGATTTCGTTCACGATACATTTAATGTTGATGTGTTCTCAATCATCGGAGATGGATAAAATTCATTCCAAACAAAAATTCAAAATAGTTGATTGACGGAAGTTAACAGTATGTTCTTACTGCAGCAATCTCTCGTCTGTGTCTCTCCTTATGTATCATCGATCGTCATCTGGGCGCGGAGTCACACCGCGAAGGCCGTCACCTCGTTTCCACATGATTTGACGTTGAGCGGACGTCGGCGCGAATGCTCGTTGACGATAACGACACGACCTTACTTGTTCTCTACTCGCGTAGATCCTTTGCCAGGACTTCTGCTGCGAGTTCCTACTTACACAAAATATTCTTTTTCGGTCGTCTTCGACCAACCGTTACAAGTGAGCATGTGACCTTGGACCAGTACACAATCCATAATATGTATATAAATAAGCTTCATGTGCTCTTTCCTACAAAAAAATAAAACGTAAAAAGTTTAGTCTGTTGACTAATTTAATATACTGATATAATTACGAAGTCCGCAGTGATGGGATTCCTTAATCAGTCCACCTCAACTCTTCTCACACTCTTGAGCCCACCAATCCATCATTATACACTCGAATCGCGGTCGCACACATAACGATTAACCATGGAGAAGAGGCATCAACGACGACGCCGTCTGGACCTACTTATTTATTATTAATCAAACGGCTTCCTTCCGTTCATCCTTTAAACGCTCGCGCGCGACTGACAGATTTCTTTCAAACACCGTTCAAGTACGAAACGCGCACGAACAATGACGATATAACGATAACAGCGTAATGCTATTTATATATAATATATATATATATGATACTCGCGTATATCTTCACTATAGGATGTTTTATATGAATTATATTTTGAATACAGCGCGCTCAGCCTTTTTCGTATATTATATACTAAAAGTGATAAATGACCGCATCACGACGCCGCGGTTTAATAACTAGAGAGGTGCACCGTACACACTCGACACGCAGACGACCTTAAACCACCGCGATCGCAGAGCGTACAATATAACATGCAGTTAATTATCTCCAAGTGTATATAATATTGTATGCAGGTTGCGCGCACCGAGAGTACAGAGAACATATCGTTTAGTATTTTTCTCTGACGTCGTTTACCAATCCGGTATTTATTATATATTATGTATAATATAATATTATTATGTGATAGTTTGTTTGCTGTACGTACCACAACAATAAAAACGTGTTCAATATAATCTATATCTAATACCAAATGCATGTGTGCAGTCGCGTGCACACATCAGGTTCGCGGAAAATTGTCGGTGGTCGCGGCGCCACATTAATGTATACGTATTGTCTTATATAGTATCGTATGGGTACGACGCGCTGCATTCTTCGTCTGTTCGACGCCGCCATCGTCTCGTGTGACGCACTCAGAATAACTTAAACGAGCA